AGGCCATTTGGCGAAGTGGGAAGAGAAGAGACAAAAACAGGTCAGAAAGATAATCATTACTCAAAAGTAAACCTTATTCTACTGAGAGAAGTAGACGAGAAAGCAAGCTTCGGGAGGAAAAAGGAAGGGGGAGTATGCAGGAGGCAGTCTCGTTCTCGACCGCCATTGTGGCTGCTGTCAGCTGGGCCTGGGGATTGAAGGGCGCTGTGTGCAGAGCTCTTTCCTGAGGAGTCAGCCTGTGCTCTCTGCCCTAAGGAAGAACTACGCCCACTTAGCGCCCACTTAGCAACCACGGGACCCCCAGGGCTGATTAACCCCAGAGATGCTGTGGGAAAATGATAGAGAGACTGACTAACCCATCTCTTAATCACTGCAGAATTCTGGTGAAATTAAGACAGAACTTCTAACTTATGAAGACCAGCTAGAAAACTTAATGACCACATATAACGTGAAAAACTAAATACGTGATTTGACGATAAAGGAAAAATCTTCCCTTCCTCACAATAGCACTTAGCACATCCGAATCTCACATCCACATAGAGCCACAAAGGGACATGTCCAGATAGCATTGCACTTTGCTAGAGACACAGGGAACTTTTTAAAAAAGTATTTCTTTTCCTTTCTTCTCTTCTTCTTACTGCTAAATAATGGTACCTAGTCAAAATGACTGAGTGTCAGTTTTTCTGTCTTTAAGCTATAAATAATTAAACCCACCATGCAGATGGTTTAAGTGAATGTAGATATAGAAGGAAGGAAAGAAATAATGAATTACCTGACTTATGTAACACCTCTCTATATCACCTTTATAATAACAATAAAGATATAAATATTTGAAAAGGAAAGAATGTAAGAAGGAAGAAATGAAGGAAGGGTAAAGGAAGAACAGGAAGGAAGGGAAGAAAAAAGAGAAGGGGGAGAGAGAGGAAGAGAAGAATGAAAAAAAAGGAAGGAAGGAAAAAAAAGAAAAAGAAAGGGAAAGAAGGAAGGGAAAATGCAAAGAGTGAAGGAAGAAAGGAAGGGAGGGAAAGATGGAGGCAGGAAGGGAGAAAGGAAAGAGGGCGAAAAGGAAGGGAAGATCACTTCTCTTATGTTGAAGTCAAGACTTCTATTTCTTATTCCACTCTGTTCCCCTTCCTGGAACACTCCTGTTACTCTATGGACTTCCCTTCAGATATTTCTGTACGTGAGGCTCCCCTAAGCAAATGTGTGTGGGGGGTAGATATATTTATGCACAACCTTGAATTAACCCACCCATCCTTTGTTCTTGGCATCTTACTAGGTGTGTTATCAGTCTGCTCACCCATTATTCCCAACACAAACAGATGTAGTGTGAAGATCTTAGGGTCTCCTTTTACAGAAATGCCTTTGAAGGATCCTAAATTGTTAGGAGTCCTAACAACATGTTTTTGTGCATCTATGTTTTGCTAAAACAATTAACCTTTAAAAATCAACCATATGTACTAAAAGCTAGGTAATGAAGAATTATACAAATTACATAAGTATATAATTGACTCTGGATGAGTTGCTTCAGCCAAGGGGAACTTGTGTTGGATATATGTTTGATGTGGGCTTTGTGGGTTGTGACTTCGGTGGTTCACGATCGTTTCTCTGTAAAATCACTTCTAGACATATTTGCCGCCCTTCGAGTCTGTCCACGGAGGGGACATCCTCATCTCACTGTGACATCAACACAATGAGGAGACAGATGGAGTAGATGGAGAGTTGGAAGTGACAGCAGTCTAAATGCTGTGACAGTTCACTCAAATATTACAGCTCAGACATAAGAAAAACTTTCCAACAAATTATTCACATTTAATCATGATTCTAAACATTTGTACAATTCAGAAATGGGCTCTGAAGCTGAATGAAGCTCTTTAAAACTGTCAGGGCTGGAAAGCAAACAGTAATCAACGAGGCTGAAGGGAAGGTAGAATGATCTCAGACCTTTGTAGAAAATATCACAACTACTTCACAATTCACAGTCCTAATTTTGAGGTAATAGTTTTATGCCTACTTATGTAATGGCTCCTTCACATTGATGAACTCTAAATTCAAGCATGTCTATGCTCACCTCTCTTCCGAGTGTTTGTGGACCATTAACTGGGGAACATTCCATCCATTCAGCCTCTGTCCTGGCCCCCAAGCCTACACCCCCATCCTCGTTTTGGCTTCCAGTTATTCACCTTGCTCCCTTACCTGTTCCAGAACTGCTGACCTGGCCCTCACACACACGTGGGTCTCCTTTCAGCTCCATGAGAGACGAGAGTCAGCCTCTCCAGTTCCGTCTGCTTTGTTGTTCCTTAGACTCACAAGGAGCTTACTCTCTTAGCTGCCCACTCCCTCTGCCATCAGACTTTCCCTTCTTTTTAAGTTCTCTTATCTTTACCTTGTGTAAGATGACTTTCCTTTGCTATCCCAGTTCCCTCATAGAAACTCTGCATTATAGTAGGCATGCTTTCGTTGTCTTCATAATTCTGTCTTGTCTTGCATTGTCGGATTGCTTTCCTAGGATAACAAGAAAAGCTATTCTTTCTTCAACCCACATTAAGCATTTCTTTTATTCAGAATGTTTTTACTATCAAAATGCAGACATTTCTGCTAGCAGTAGACTTGCACCTCAAGAGATGATGCTGCTATAGGTGGCTTGTCTTGTTTCAAGTTCCTGTATTAAAGGAAGATTTCCTACTTAATCATAATGTATGTAACACTCAAGGTTCCCTCCACAGGTTCTCTCTCCCTTATAAAGAGGTGGAGGATCACATCTCCATCATCATTTCTATACTATTGTCAAAGAAACTAGACTTTGGAGAGGTACACAGCTAGACAAAATTTATTTTTCATAAGCTTTCCCAGCCTTAAAATGATTTGCTATTTTTTCCCACCAATGATTTATTTAAAGTAGCAAATCTCTGTGACCTTTGTAGTATAGAAATAAGTCCTGTTAGCAAAAAGACAGTCCTGGCCAGCTCTCACAGGCTGACGTTGTTGCTGTGTGTGTGTGTGTGTGTGTGTGTGTGATTAAGATACTGTACAGAGAGGTTATAGTTAAATGAGTTAAATGAGTCCATTTCCTATCAAGCATTGTTACACCCTCCGTTATTTTTCCCTTACCATCCCTTTCCTCCCCAACTCCTCCCTCCCCTCTCCTTTCCCCCTTCCCACCCCCCCCACAAGGTTGTAAAGTTTGTTTTCAACATACTGTCTTGTACATCTCATTGTTACAATGGGTCGTCCTGTATCCTTATTTCAGCATTTTGTTATTTCCCTTCCCCTCCCCAAATTAGAAAAATATTTATACAAGATGCAGGGCACAGGAATCAAATACAGTGACAACAAGGGTTATACTATGGGGGAAGAACATACAAAGAAACAAAAAAATCACATAGTATATTATAAGTGAATTAAAAAGAACAGAAACAAAGATTTTTTATTGAAATATATTTCCTTAATTCAATACATGTTTACAATGTGTGATAATCGAATCAAGGTACTAAGCATTTCCATGTCTTTAAACATGAATCTTTTTTTATATGTTGGGAATTTTAGACTCTTTTTCTAGTCATTTCGAAATACACTGTATTTAGTCAGTACTCTACTATAATAAAGAAAAACTCCACATTTTGTTATAGATTACTTTTACACAACATTATTCATAGAAACTTTATAGGGTATATGATTTCACATTACAGAGCTCTTTGGTGGAGAAAAATGGGGGAGAATGATAAAAAAGGAGACATTGATCCTAACTTGACTTCTGGAATTGGAACTACTTTGTATAACTACTTAATAGAAGTAAATTTAAAGCCAATAAAACATGAAGCATTTAGGATAAATACTTAAGAAAAAATATTACTGCTGAAATAAATAATTGTAGCAGGGAATTAGATAAAATATACATGGCTATGTAATAAATTAATAAGCTTGAAGGCTTGAAGAAACAAAAAGCTCAAAAATTGGAAAATAAAAGTTTTTTGGGCTGGGTGTTGGTGGCTCATGCCTGTAATCCTAGCTACTTAGGAGGCTGAGATCTGAGGTTCACAGTTTGAAGCCAGCCCAGGCAGAAAAGTCCATGAGACTCTTATCTCCAATTAACCACCAGAAAGCCAGAAGTGGTGCTAAGGCTCAAAGTGGTAGAGCACTAGACTTGAGCAAAAGAGCTCAGGGACTGCACTCAGGCCCTGAGTTCAAGCACCGTGACTGACAAAAAACAACAACAATAGAATAACCAACAATAAAACAAAGAGTTCTCTTGTCAAGAATGTTTAATTAAGGAAATAATTTAAATGTCTTTATACTTGTGTAAGGTCAAATGAGTGTCTCATTAGAGAAAAAGAGGATGAAAATATCTTTGTGAAAATAAATGATCTCTCTTGACATCTCAATTCACATTCATATTCTGGTCCCAATATGGCTTTAAATTTTTTTTACTGTGAAAATACCATACAGAGGGGTTACAATTACATGGGTAAAGTAATGAGTACATTTCTTATCAAGCATTGTTGCCTCCTCCTTTGTTTCCCCTTCCCATCCCTGTCCTCCCATCCTCCCCCCCCCCCCAGCTAGAGTTGTACTTATTATTTTTGTTATTATTTTGTTATATATGTATGCATGCAATTGCTTGATTTCTTTATTTCTTTATTGGGGCTGGTCCTGGGGCTTGAACTCAGGGCTTGGGCACTGTCTCTCAGCTCCACTTCAGGCTTTTTCTGTGATTAACTGGAGATAAGAGTCTCGGACTTTTCTGCTCAGGCTGACTCTCAGTCTCCTCAGATCTCAGCCTCCTAAGCAGCTAAAACTACAGGCGCGAGCCACCGGCGCCTGGCTTAAAATGGCTATTATTTAGTGCACGCAGCTTTTTCTGTTTTGCGTGAGATTCTTTTGCACTGTCAGTGTTGGGGACATTTGGATGTTCAATGCATATTTCCCACGACAGAGGATGACCCGGGAACTGCAAGTTGTCTTTAAGATGTGTCGCTTGTTTATTTTCTGTTATTTTACAG